TATTATTATTGACACATTCTCAAACGGGAATAGAACTCAGGTCTTCTTTCTGGTCCCGTGAAGGGGCCCAACCGCTACACCAAAGACGCCAGTCCACTATTGGGTGGGAACTTTGAGCAATTTTTCTCATCAAACTTCCTCCTATTCAAGTGTGGGTGAATGAATTAATAAATGAATGATGGATGAATGAATGAACGAAAGAACGAATGAACTAAAGAATACTTATATCAATGTTAACCAGGTTGCGTTGCACAATATAACTTGTGCTTACGGCACAAAAACATAGACACTGGTTTCACGAGTGACTCTTCCTCCTGTGTTGTGTTCGCCAGGGCTCTCCAGGGACAGGCAGATGTATCTCTACAACAACATCCGTCAGTTTGTTTCTGACGAATGTAAGGACATTCTGTGCCCTCCACCCTCCCAGTAGTGTGTTTTCTCAGTGGGATTATTGACTGCTTCTCTCCAAGACAAGGTAAGACAAAAATTGTCTCGTGCTATTTTTTTTTAAATTCTCGTCATTCGTGTCTCTTTTTGTGACCCTCCTATTTCTTTATACTTTTCAACCTGTTTTCCCTTTCATGTCAAATTTATGTACAGTTGTTTTGAAGCTTAACTCTTTCTACTGTTTGTGGATTCTTTCTACTGTTTGTGTTTGCATGTCTTGATGCTAACATTATACTACTAACAGAATGAAAGCTGTGTGGTGCATGCATACAAACAAACAGACAGACTGGCAAACACACACACATACACTCACACAAATACACACAGTCTTACACATCTAAAAGCACCACATGTTGTACAGAACAGACAGTACCAAAAGTAATTTGAAGCAGTGCCATGGAGGTAATGATGAAAGGCTTCTGGGTTGGCAAAGTGTCGCGAATGTTATCTTTAGGGTCTATCATATTGATGCCTGCTGTGCTTAAAAAAATACTTTATGCATGAAAATGTTGTCTTATTTCAATGTGAAAATGCCTCCCCTGACTGAAAAATGACAAAACGTTTGTTTTTTGGCATGGTTGCTAAGGAGTTTTGTTCAAATATGTGTTCAGAAACTTTGACCTCGATTTTCTCAAAACTGAACTTTTACATCTTCCCTCATTCAAACCTTCATATTTCGAAATTGAGAAACGATAGAAAGATAATTTTTTCACCAACTTGTAGGGCTTGAAAAGCCCTTTAATTTGATGTATATAAGTCCATATGTCCAAAATCCGAGAAGTAACTCATTTTGTCAGCACGCCTCACATATGATAGTTTGTGTACTTAAATTGAATGTGTAAAGGCCACTAATACAATGTGGAAACCCACGTCTCCTTAATTAGTGCTAAAATATAAACCCAGTCCGTTTCTAGAACATACGGCTTACAAAAAAGGAATAAGAGTTACTTAGTTAATTGCCTTAGGATATCTTTTAAATTGTTTGGACCTTATTTCTAATCGTCTACTGATTGAACCTTATCACTTATAATTGCTATTATTTGGACCTTCTTTCTAATTGTCTACTTGGATTTTACTTCTTATTGTCTATTAATCGGATATTATTGCTAATAGTTTATTAATTGGATCTTATTATCAATCGTCTAATAGGACCGTATTTCTAATCGTCTATTATTTTGACTTTATTCCTACTCGTCTATTTTATTTTTATTACTAATCGTTGAGGAATACATGTATTTTCTAAGCAGACACGACACGGGTTTTGGCAAGCTTGAACGTGTGGGGAACACCACAAGGAGGAGGCAAGATTACCGTGCATAACAAACACTAATAATAATACTAACGATAAAGATACTGATGATATTAATAATAGTTACGTACTGATAATTTCAATAACGAATATCCCTGCTCAACAGTAAGGTTTCTGCGTTTTACAATCTATAATAATTATTATTACACCAACAGACCCAATAACACAGAGAAACATTCTTGGCTTCCCGAGAAGCACACAATGTAAGGAGATGATTAACACTAAAATACCAACAAACTGACAAAATGTTTTTGTCGTCTATAGCTGGGTTCCTATCCCACTGGGTGAAGTGAGGAGAATTCGTGTAAAATGCCTTTCCTAAGGACACAACGTCGGGTCCCTGACGGGCCTCGAACCCACGTCCTTTCGGTTGCCAGCCCAAAAACCTGACTACTAGACTACTGGCGACATAAACGAACAAGAGTACATTGAAAAATGAATATTTTATCAAATGTGAAGCGTGCTGACAAAATGAGTTACTTCTCACTATCCACAAATGCAGATATTGGCCAAATATTGACACCAGGGTCAAATTTCTAGGTTTTCTATTGATGCAATATTCATTAAGTACTAAATGCCTTTAGTTATTTCATACTTACTAATTGTAAAACCTTAACTTATAAGCATGACATATCTATTTCAATAGGGCTCAAATCCGAGAAGTAACTCATTTTGTCAGCACACTTCACAAATGTTTCACCCACAAGACAGTTCAATCTTCTCTCCTGAGGGCTACTCATTACAAATGTCACAGGGGCTGATGAAAACGTCAAATTTCGAGTCGCAAATAGAAGTTATTTTTGTACAATATTTGCTCCTGGTTTTGGTTTACAAGACACGTCAGTCCCTAAAAATAGTATCAAAGGCGCATTATCATTAGATGTCCAAACTTGTGTTTTTGAAGACCTCGCCTCTTAAATAACCTTACAGTGTTGCACGAGCGGCTTTGCACCTACACAATTTTGCCTCACGTTTCAGACCTCTTTGTCTCATCTCAAATGCACGGTGCATATCCTTCTTGTGGCATAACTCGTCAAATCGAAATCAATATAGCAAGCCATTTAGTGCTCCACCACCGAAATGAAATTTCTCAGTGTAGGAGGGCACTGGATTGTACAAGAGTTATCAAGCTAAATATCTTTTAAATGCCGAGGATTTCGAAGATGCAAATGATGCTATTGAACAAGGCAAAGACTTTTTTAGATTGTCGCAATGACAGTCTGTAAAAATGTCTTAGTGTATGGGCCGCTATCAACACTATTCGGTTATCGAAGAGGCGGGGCCTCTGAATTAAACGCCCATCTGCGATAAGATCAAGCCCAAAGAGTTCCGAGCCTTGAAAACTTCCCAACACGACCCGAAGTCAAGAACACACATCATCATCATCATCATCATCATCATCATCATCACCATCATCATCATCATCATCATCATCATCATCATCATCATCATCAT